CAGAACTGGAATAGTAGTAGAAAATAAAACCAATGCTATTTGTGGCTATTCTCTACCATATTTATTTTAGCGTATTTACCTCATGAGTCTTGAGTTACATAAACAATAACATTTGTATTTGGTAAATGAATTCTTATAAATAAACCAAGGGATATGTGTGTGTTTGTGTCCACCTTGAAACTTTAGATTTCTGTGAGCATATAATAGTAAGCAGTACCAACAGATTCCAGAAACTGATAGTGGCAAAGCGCCTGTGGTACGTTGGACTTCAGACACATGCATTCCATTCCTTTTGCTTCAAGAGAGCTATAGGGACACAGATTTCTTTTTAACTTTTCCACTTGTAGGTTAAGAATAGAAAGACAACATGTGGAATAGAGAGATGAAGGGAACTAATAAGAAGCTAAGGCATCAGTCTCTTTTTTAATTTTCCAGTGTTAATCTCTTCGCCTTCTCTACTCTAACCCAATTTCAGTGAACTGAGCAGGATGAAGGGAGTTAGTAAAGCTAGATGAAGCACTGTGGTGGGATGTGTGGAGCTCCACTCTGGAGAAGGAAGATAGAAGAAGAGGAAGGGAAAATGGGGATGGAAGGGGGAGAAGAGCTCATTGGATGAAGAAATCCCTGCCCTCTTCCTTGTCATCAGTTGTTGGTTCTATGCTAGGTGTTAGGCAAGGCAAATAATATGGGAGCCCCGAATCTGGCCATTTACAACTTTAAAAAGGCATTTTGTGGAATAACAAAACATGTCTTGGAAATTGTTCTAAAGCTCACAGATTCTTTCTACTTTGTCTGAGGGGCAGGGCAGTTTGGGTGGTGGAAGTAGTTGGCCCTGGTCATTTTCTTGGTTTGGGCTGTATCATTTTTTCCTTCTGCTTTGGGATGCTCATCATTTGTGACGAGATAGCATACCTCAGAAGTTCTGTGAGCAAGAACTGCTGCCCTGCCTCTTTTCCACAGGCTGCCTGGGGATAGGAAATGAAACCTGCCTCACCCCAGATGTCCAGGGAAAGCCTCTGTGTTCGTGGAGGAGGAAGGGTGGGAGGAACCTGGGCAAGAGGAGAATCCTGTAAAGGGTGAATGTTTAAATCTGCATGGTACCAGCGTGTGTGATTGGCGTCTTTCACCTTTGGGGTATAGAGAAGAGTAAGGGTAACAGAAACCACAGCACCTCGTGGGTAGAAGCCACTTTCTACATTATGTGCCTCTTTTTAGACATGCAGTTTGTTTCATTTCCGCCAGTTTACACAAGTCTTATATTTTCTTATGTTTCTTATGTTCCTTACATTTCTGGGACATACTCTTCTAGGGCCTTCTGTTGATCAGTTCTGTGCCTCAGGATTTATAGTGCTTGACAGTTTCTTGATCAGCAGCTGACATTTACTTGGAGACATGAGTTCTCTCTGTCAGTTCTGCTTAACGCCCACAACTTGACTTGACTCAGAGTCACCCTCATCATCAAAGGGCTTATTTTTACTTTCTCTACTTTGGTTCTTCTTCCCAACATTCCCATTTTAGAGTTTAATAAGCTGTTGTCCTGGATTTGTATACATTTATACATTCATATTTTGCCACATGCTAAAATTTGTTTTGCACCCAGCTGGTGTGCTTGAGTCACCGAGTCATGATGGAAGGCAACAAAGAGGACATCCTTGGCGCGATGCAGCACGGGGGCCTATTCCTGTCCCGTGAATTAACAGTAGTTCACAGTGGTCAGTCTCCTCCTAAGACATGCCCAGAAGATGACTGAGGTACCCAGATTTTCTGGTGACTGTTCTGCTCTGAGAAGGATTGAGTGGATGCTGAGGTGCCTCTGAAGAGTGGGGTCACAGGCGTCAGTGGTCCCAGAGGACAAGAATCAGGGCACACTGGCTTATGTAGAAATGCGAATGAGAAACTGAGCTAGAACTAATTCCAGCTGAAGGTCTCTGGTGTAAGATTCTCCTGACTTTTCAGAGGAGTTCAAGATTTTGGCTTTCAGGTGTTCACCCCCTCCCTCCAGTCACTCAGATGAGACCCTGGTACACATCATTCACCTTAGCAGAAGTCACACAAGCATTTGTGGCTCGAGATGAAGAACGAGAGTTGGGTCACTTGATCCCCTGCAGAGAATCTGATGAGGGCATCACATCCACCTCCCTTTGCTGACCCTCTTCTATAAACAGGAACAGAAATTCTTGCTACTGGATCCCTTTCATCAGGCGTCTTAGGCTCGCTGAATGAAAAGCCCTATAAAAAGAAGATGCAGCCCTAATAATAACAAATACGATCGTGATGGCTATTTTGGGCAAGAGCAGCTTTGTGCCGCTCTTGATCTCCATCGGTGTCTGCCATTCCTGCCCTGCCATTACCTTTCAGACTTCCTATTCTTAGAATCATTTGTGAGCCCTCAGCTTGGGGGATTGCAGCCCCCAAGCTGGAATGCCTAGCTTGAGAGGAATGCAGACTGTCTGGCAGAGTGGAGGTTAAATAAAGTTTGCCTTGGCAGCCCCCTCTGCTCTTGGATGGGCGACAAGTAACTCGGGTATAGGAGCAATGGCATGGGCTGCCATGTGGTGCAGTACCAAACAGAGTAGATGTGGTTGATGGTCCGTTCGTTATAGGCAGAGCCCTGCCAGTCTCAGCCCTGCTATGTACTAAGGAGGCCTGGGCAGCCTTGAACCTCAGCTAGTAACTGTATCGCTCTGAAAACATGCAGGAACAAATAAAGAATGAGAGTGAAAATGCCTTGCATGAACTGCAGATTTGGTATGTTTGCCCCCTCAGAGTTACTGCCTCATTTTTTGAATGTGAGATAAAGGAGGAAATTTTCATTATAATAAGAACAATTGCTAGTCAGTCAACAAACATTTCTTGAGCACCAAGGCACTGTGGAAAACTTTAAAAGTGTAAGACCTAGAATTCTTGTGATGCTTATAATTTAGTTGGAAAAGTAGAGCGGTAAATATATGAGGAAATAATTTATATTCCAAAGTCAAATATGAGTTCCAAACCTGTGCAATAGAACTAAGTGCCAGAGGAGGTCTGAGGGGAGAAAGAGGAGTGCTTCTGGCTGGAATGATCAAGAAGCATTTTGTGGAGGAGGTGCGGCTCAACAGGTCTTGCGAGAATGGCAGACTTCTACTGGAAAGAAGAGGGCCTTGTCAGTGAGAGGACTTTTATGAGCAAAGGACAGATGAAGGGCACTCTCAGAACAGCTCATGGGGACGTGAAGAGCAGCTGGATATGGACAGGGTGGCAAAGCAGAAGGATTTGTGTAAAATCACCAAACCCTTAACTGTGAAGGCTGTGGGTGCACATTGCTGAGAGGACAGTGCTTCCCACCAGCGGATAGTTGGCAAGCTCCAGTCCCACCCAGAGATGGGGGCCCTTCTAGTGCTCTGTTCTGTGAAACCCCTGATACAACATGGAGCTCCTAGTAGACAGTAAATAACAAATTATTATTATTACTCATCTTCAAATTCTCTGGTCCCAAGTTGTTGAATTGGCTTGATGTCACTCGTGAGAGTTGGCACTCCCTTTGCTTTGCCCTATTTTGATTGCTCACCTGCCTTGCCACAGTCTTGCCTTCAGATTTATCTGACCTTTCTCCTCTCTTCCACCACAGGTGGCTAGAGGTGCAGGTGGCTAATCTAACATGTCCACAGCGCTGGGTGCAGTACCTCCGACTTCTTCAGGAGTCCATCTGGCCTGGTGGTATTTTACCGAAGTGTCCACGGCCTGTGAGGACCCAGGAGCAGAAAGTGGCCGCTGAAAAACAGGCCTTGCAGAGCCTGATGGGAATCTTGCCAGGTAATTGGACAGTGAGATTGGTTATACTGATAATTATTCCTTTCCCATCCTGCTTTGCCACCATTACCCCACACCCCTCAAAAACCTGGGCTCAAAATCCTGTCCACCCGCCATTTCTCAGGCTAATAGGTAAATGATCAGAGCTGTGATTCTTTACCCCTTATTCAAGTGATGCTGAGGGAATGGAAAGGATCACTAGGACCACACCATAAATAGTAGGTGAGAATCCTGCAGATACTTGGGGTAGTAACAGCTCTGCCTACACCACAGAGGCGGGTCTCAGAACTCTTCCCACCAGATGAAGATTTCAGGTTCTCTGCCAACTCATGGTATTTGGACCAGGGAAGAAAATGATATGTCCCACAGAAGTTCAGCCTTGATAAATTGGGGTCATTGAATAAGGTATATCATCCTTAGCAGTAGATAAAAACAAACTCTGAAGAGGATTTTTTTTTTCTTTACTTTCTATACATTTTTAGAAGGTAGGGAAGGCAGTTTGTTACCTGTGGCTGTGCTGTAGTAATGAGGGTACAGTAGTGAACTGTTAGCTCTTAGGACAATGTTATATACTCTTTGTTTTCTATTGTATTTATTTTTTTATTTAAATTCAATTAATTAACATATAGTGTATTATTAGTTTCAAAGGTGGAATTCAGTGAGTCATCAGTTGCATAGAACACCCAGTGCTCATTATATCCCGTGCCCTCCTTAATGCCCATCAGCCAGTTGCCCCATCCCCCCCACCCCCCCACCCCCAGCAACTCTCAGTTTGTTTCCTGTGATTAAGAGTCTCTAATTTCGTCTTTTGTTTTTCCCTCCCCTTCCCTATGCTCCTCCGTTTAGTTTCTTAAATTCTACATATGAGTGAGATCATATGATAATTGTTTTTTTCTGATTGACTTATTTCACCTAGCATAATACCCTCTAGTCCCTTATATACTCTTATCAACCCCTGTTCTCCACCCTAAACTGTTACAACAGATGTACCTGCAGTGACAGGTTACAGAATTATTTCTTTAGGTCCATTCTTACTAAACACTTAAGAAACATTTTTCGTAGCTGTTCCCTGTTTTAGTTTGGCTATGTGGTTCAGAAGTTTGCCAGAAATACCCAATTTGGATAAAGATAGCAGATATCACAAGATAATCTCCTTAGAATTTAAGGCTTCAGTGGTAACACTGAAACCACATCCGTTTTCTCCTCTTCAGATATTGTGGTAGAAATCCTTGGGGTGAACAGATGCCGGCTGAGCTGGAGTCTAGTCTTGGAGTCACTACAGCAACCCCTCATCAACAGGTAGGCTGAAAGGCATGTACGCAGCATCTCCACAGCTGAGCCATCTCTGGTCTCAGAGGTGTCCACGGTTTCTAAGTGAGCAGCCCACACTGAGACGAATGGAACTGCAGTCTTTCTCTGCCCTGGGCCCTCACTGCAGAGTGTGATGTCCAAGTGCGCACACACTAAGAAAAACCCACACTGCCTGGTTCTGAGCAGGTTGTCATGCAGCAGTGAGCCAGTGTTGGGCCAGCCACCGTTTGCATGTGGAAGAACTCGATGCAGGCCCCCATGTGAGCTACTGAAAACGTCCTGTCACCCTCCAGGCTTATTCAGTGCGCTTAACAGTTCTTTCAACATCTGCCAGCCCCTGTGAACACCGTATACCACCATGTATACCTGGCCTGTATACCACAGGCTGGATAATGATTTTCAGCTCAACGTTCAAGGCCTGACAGCAAAGCTGATTTAGTGTTAGAATCAGGAACTGTCTTTGCTTAATAGGAAGGAGACAAGATAATGAGGTTGAGCTCTGATAAAAGGACTGAAAATACTGAGTGAACACCGCTAGAATAATCCAGAAGAGGTAGGTATTTCCCTGGCTGGTACCTTAGGATACAATGCTTCTGAAAAGTATTCAGGACTTCCAGTCCTTTCTCAAACCCTGTCCCAAAGCAGACTGTATCTATTAACTATCACTACCCAAGAGTGCTGGCTTTTACTTCATTGCCTGTAAGGTCACCTGTGGATCTGTGATAATTAATTATGAGAAACAGCCATAGTCAGAAGCTCTGAAAATTCTTAGTAAGTTGATATCACAGGGATTTTTCCCTCCCTCACAGTTCTTCAGGACAGTGCTGATATGCTAAGGTAGCTACTTAAATGTGGAATTTCCTAAAATCTAGTCTCAAGTTCTATTTCCACCTTTATTGGGGTCATAACCTTTAGTCACCAAACTTTTATTTCATGGCAGAGCCTTCATCTGGCTATTGAAATTTAGAGTTCACTAAGGATATCAGTAATGGGCAAGGAGGGGAAGGGAAAATAAATGTCATAAACAGGATCTGGTGTCTATCGACTAAGCCAGACCCTCCTCTAAGTTGTTTTATCCATTTGTTTCAGGCACTTGATTTACTGCCTTTGGGACATCATCCTGGAATTCTTGGATCTCAGTGCCTCCGTTGAGGAGTCTACCGTAACCGCCTCTGCCTCAGATACCCCAGGCAACCCCAAGAGAATGGGTGTCTCCCCTTAGCCATAGGTTATTCATCCATTCTTTGAAGGCTGGGAAAGGAGAGTTGCTCTGCCACCCCGCGACCAGTCAGGAACCTGTGCCCTCTGCAGCTGGACTGTAGTTCAGAAGACCTGAGGTCCCAGGGGCACAGTTCTCCTCCAGCTCTACTCCACAGAGCAGGTGACCTAACAGATGATGGGGGAAATACGTACCAATCGTATGCATATCCATTTCCATACTTTTTTTGTGGTGTTTGGATTGTTGCTGGTGGGTAGATCCTGGAAAAGGAATCTATAAGGTAGAAGAATGAGCCCCTTTTGCCTCTCCTTTGCCCTCCTCCCTAAGATTGTTTGCCAGGACCCTGGTCCTGTGCATACATGTTCCTAATCCACCAACACACAAGCTGCAGATAGACCAAGTGAAAACTGATAGCCAGATTTCTTGGAGGAGCAGACAATTTTCTAGAGCTCTCTGTTCCCACCAGGAAACTGCAGATTCCTTCAGGACCACTCTTGAAAGCCAGACCCCCCACGTTCTGTCTAGTTTCCCAACAATTCCAGAAGAAGGAAGGAAAACATTTCTCAAGGGACTTTTTGCTGATTATTTTCCAACACATCAGCCCTATGGAGGATGTCACTGAAGGCTGCTTCCCTGGGTGGCTACACTTTTTTTGTTCAGAAGACTTCAAAGCAGACTGCCAAAGCTTCTTGGTAGATCCACCCCCACTCTCCACACCCTTTCCTGAAAGAGAGTTGCATCACAGATTTTATTTATTCGCTTTCCTCCTAACCCCTCTCCAAGAGCAGTTGAGTTTTGGTCTTTGTGACCTTCCCTCTGTCTCCGTTCAGCAGAATCACATGGCAGATTGCTTATTCAGCCCAGTGCTTCCAAAGGAAATGGAGACCCTTGCTCCGTGGCTGGGAATGCCTAAAGAGTAGGAAACCCAGGGGGCTGTGGGGCTTCTCTCTTCACAAGTCTCCAGCAGGGCACTTTAAACTGAACAGATAATATTAGCAAACCTGCAGGGAATTGATTACCCACAAAAAGCTTTTTACTTCCTGTTCTTTAAGGATCTAATTAGTCTTTAAGAACACTGGAAGATGAAGGCAAAGGTGCTATATCAGGCTGTAGTGTCTTAGAAGAATAGAACAATTAGGAGAACTTGTTGGTAGGAAAGGAGGCGGACAATGTGACAAGGGAAGTGCTATACATTAAATGCATGTGAGTAGCTGACAGAAAAGGTTTAAGGAGGTCATGGGAGACCCTTGCCTTGTGCCCCTCATCCCTTTAGCTTTGCACCTGCCTATTAGTGCCCTTCTGTCACTGAATTATGGATCTCCCCATTTGGAGGGGAAACTTGGAGTTAGACTGATTAGAATGGGGGCATCAAGTTCTCAGACTCTGAAGTAGATGATGTGCACACAAAGTGGTTTATGGGAGAAAGTTGTGCAGTCTTACACTTTTTTTTATTCCTCTGGAGGCTTTTACCCATAAAATGTGTTATGCTATGATTGGAAGGCTTTAGGTAGGCTATTACTGCCTAAGGACAAGATGAATGAGATCATGTCTCATGGCACCTTCTAGCCTTAAAATATGATTTTTACAGCGACTTTATGGCTCCAGAGCTTCTCCCACCCCGGACATTCACAGGCCCAAGGAGCTCAGCATTTCTAGCTTTAGTAAGTATTTGCAGGAGTGTGGGACTGCAGGGAGTCCAGCCTCACCTACTGAAGCCGATCCTTCACCTTTTTCAGCTCGGGCCAGGATGCTCTTCAGGATAGATGGAGTAGCCAGCTCATTTCCACTACCCTTCTCTCCCGATACTTTACCCTCATATGTACTTAGCCACCTACTTTGCTTTGAATCTCTGCTATTAGGGCTCAGATGTCACACAGAGCCAGTACGTAAGCTGACGCACCATAAAATCCCTGTGGCTATAAATTCTGAGCAATTTTTTGACACTTCCATCCCAAAGAAAACTTCCTTATATTTCATGTTGTGTAAGAGATGCCACCTCTGTGGTCTGTGCCCCAAAACATAAGCTGTCCTCAGGCCCTCCTTCTGTCTAGAAGGGAAATCATGGATATCGCCAAGGAAATGTCAAGTTTGGGTAGCAGGCACAGGCAACCATGGAGATCAGCACTTGGGAGAGAGCCACAGGTATTAAGAAAAGATGCCCCCAGCTGAGAAGTGAGAAAAGGCAATGAACCGGGCCTGCGCTAACCCAGAACGTTCATGATTTTTCTTTCCCCTTACCCAGCACATTCATTTCCAGTTGCTACTCTTTTCTTTACTTATAGCACCCACCAGCAGTTGTTAGATCCTGGGTGGAGTAAAAATATGTGTATATGGTTATATGAGTCAGGATGCTTTGGACTGAAGGAAAACTCGAAGGAAATTTTGTTTTCTTCCATAAAATGAGTACCTGAGTAGGGAAGCCCCAGGGGCAGATGGATTCAGCAACTCTGACCTCATAAATGGCCCAGATTCTTCCCATCTTTCCCCTCTGCTGTTGTAAACATGCTTGTGTAAACATGCTTGTCCGGTTCTCAGACTGCCTACCTGGTTGCTGCAGTTCGGAGCATCACATTCATATGTAACAATATGAAAGAACAGAATCGTCTCTTCCATGTTTTCTTTTAAAGAATGGGGAAACCTTTTTCCAGAAACCCTTCAAGAATGCTCTTCTCATGACTCATTGGCCAGAACTGTGCACCCCTAAGCCAATCCACGGCCATTAAAAATGGCATTACCTGGTTGGCTTGCAATAGTATTTACCCCCTCCGCCCCCAGAGAGGAGGTCACACTCCAGGAAAGTTAGATACCTAAAAAAAAAATCATTAGATGTTAGCAAGGAAGAAGCAGAGGATGGGTGTTAATAGACAATGTCTGTTATATCATCTGTACAACATCAACAGATCCCCCGTGGTACTCTAAAAATACCTGGAATTGGCTAAGAGAGAACATTTGCTGAGGGCACCACATGAAGCACTTCACCTGGAGTAACTCATTTAACCCATACACAACCCCGTAAGGTAGGTTCAATTATCTGTCCCCATTTCATAGATGAGGAACACAAGGCACGGAGAGATTGTGAGTTGCCCACAGTCATTTGCAAAGAAATGGCAGAGCCTGGATACAAATCTTGCAGGTCTACCCTCAAGGCTACATGCCTAATAACCATTATACTGGTCTGTGTTTCTTAAAATAAGATCATGTTCTCATTTTTAAGGAGCTCATGATCTAGTACTTTTTTGGTAAAGGGGCAGAGAATAAAAATTCCAGGCTTTGGGGCCATATGGTGGTCTCTGTTGCAACTCAGCTCTTCCATTGTAGCATGAAAGCAGTCATAGACAATACATATAGCAATAACTGTGGCTGTGTTCCAACAAAATTGTGTTTGCAGAAGCAGGCAGCTGACCAGATTTGGCCCATGAGTTGTTTGCAGGCCTCTTTTTCAGGAGTTAGAACAGTGCTTCTCAAACTTCAGTGTACATGTGATTTACCTGGGACCGTGGTCAAGAGTATGCTGCATTTCTGACAAGCTCCCAGATGTATGCCAGTGAGAATACAGATCTTCAAACACATGTTGAGTATCAAGGGGTTAAAACATAGACAACTCTCAAGTGTGATTGATACACTATTAAATGTATAGGAAGGGTACTTCATTGAGAGTAGAGGGCCATGGAAAGCCTGAGGTGATAATATGTGAATTGACTTCTGGAAGATTCATGAGAATTAACCAGTAAAATCATGGGGAGGGTGTCCAGAGGAACAATGAACAATGTGTGCAAAGACAGAGTTGCCACAGAAGGACAAATACTGTATGATTCCACATATCTGAAGTACCTAGCATGGTCAGCCTCACAGAAACAGTAGAAATGTGGTTGTTGGGAATTAGAGAGGGGAATGGGGAGCATGTAATGGGTACCGAGTTTCAATTTTGCCAAATGAAAACAGATTCTGGAGATCTGTTTTATCAACTGTGTAAGTAGACGTGACACTCCAGAGCTGTACACTGAAAATAGTTAAGATGGCAAATTGTAGATTCTGTTTATTGTACTACAATCAAGACATGTAAAATGAATAAAAGCTGTGGAAAGCTACAAGGCACAGCTTGCAGGGAAGGAGAGGCGAGGGCCGGGGGAGGGGCCTGTCTGGGGCGGTGTGCTAAGGAAGCTGGCACTGTTCTCCCTCTCCACCGTGGGGAATTGTTGAGGAATCTTCCTGAAGAGTATTTTTCATCAAAGTTCACAGTTCCTGCTTATGGGAAACATGGGAGTTTGATTGCACATGCAAACAGCCCTTGGATTTGACACCTGTCTCAGTCATTTTCTGATCCCCCCCCCTTAATTTCTTCAAGTCTGTTCCCATTATTTCTTACATATGAGATGGCTTCAGCATCTATAGAGTATAATGAGCTGGAAGCAGTAACAGCCTGATTGAAACCCTAGCTCTGCCACTTAATCAGCTGTGAGGAAGTGGTCAGGTAACTTAGCTTCGTTGGGACTTAACATTTCTCTCTCAGAAAAAGGGACAAATATATTACAAACATTTTGAGAAGTGAATTGTAAGAACAAGCTTTATAAAGTAGCAAGTGCTATGCTATAAAAATGTCCATGGCGGCATTCTCCTGCTCTTCTGGGGATGCCTTGCTTCAGGAACCATGCAGCTGAGCTGTCCTCTGGCGAGCCCCGGTTCCCCAGCCCTCTCAGAACCTGCTGTTTGTCTTGGCCTTCCTTTGCACTGGAGCAATATGTGTTCTCCCAGGAGGAGGAAAGGAAAGTTAGCCAACCCTGCTGGATACAGATGGGAATGGGAACCAACCAGGAGAGGAAAGGAAACCATGATGCTTTTGTAGCCCAAGGTCCGACTGGGCAAGCTCTTCCCTAACTTGGCATCTCTGTTTCCTTTCCACTGAGTGCGCCAGAAATCACTGGGCAGTAGCTGCTTGCACTGGCTCTGTGGGCAGGAGAATGAAGCCACTGCAGGGTGCATTTCCGCTTACAAGCCTCCATCACTCTTCTGTGGCCTAAGGCATGAGAGCGGCTGCTTCGCACAGACTTGTTTCTCAGAAAAGAGCCAGTGAGGGGAGACTACCGAATCTTACTTCCGTATCCTGACTCGCCCAGTATTTCTTACACAAGGACGTCCCCGGCTTATTTTAAAAAGAAAGACAAAACCCCAGAAGAATGTGTCAAGCAAGTGAAAATCATCAGAGCCCGTTGCCTGCTGTGACCCAACAGCAACAGGGTTTGAAGCCGAGGCAGCACTGAAGTGGCGGAGAAAATGCGGGCACCACAGCCTCCTGGGCAGATCCGCTGTGCTACCTCAGCCTTGCTGAGCCTTCTTGCCGCCTCCCTACACCTCTCACCCGTCTCTGGTCCGAAAGTACATTTGAACTCTGCTTTCTTGGAAGCGCAAACAAGCACGTGACAGAATCCCGAGAGCTCCTGTCTCTGATGTCTCTTCCACATGACAAAAACTGGTGTCTCTCCACCTCTTGACTCTTCAAACCTCACCTGCAGGTGCTTCAGTAGAAGTCACTAGCACCCTGTTGCTGAGATGTGGAAGTTTGGGAGGGAAAAAAAATGAAAGGGGAAAAAATAATAGTATCAAAGTCCAAACTTAGAAAACATTTCTTGAAGTGACATTACCTACTCCTTTCAACTCAAAATAGGCCTCTTTGTCCCCCGAGTTTTGTTTAGGAAATGCAAGCTAATTTTAATATTAGGGTGTTGTAATGATTAAGAAGGTTAAGTCCGTGTCCTATATCTAAATCCATACTTTGGTTTTTTTTCTTCCCCGTCACTGTTGCAGCCTGTTACAAGCAGTGGAGAGCTGGCTATAATTACTTTTAGACACTTGGCGTTAATCAATGAGGGAAAAGGCCAAGTTAGATAAACCGAAAGTCTGTGATTGCAGAGAAAGGCTCTAGTATATCTACAGAAGCCAAGACTTCGCTGTTCTGGGTTGAATTGGATTTAGTGACTTTCAAGCTCAGGGCATCGGCCCTTCGCCTGTGCTCATTAGAGAATCATCCTTAAATTTTTATTTATTTATTTTTTAAGATTTTATTTATTTGAGAATCATCCTGCCCCAGTAGCAATGGAAAGATTAACAAAGATTTAGCAAAATATCTGCATTTCGTATCTTGCCTTTAGGGAGGATTGACCTTACTAAGAAAAAAAAAAAGCCCTTTTGGAGTTCACATTCTTTACCTGTACTAACATGGAATCCAAATTCAAAGAATGGCAAGCCAGTTCCTTTCCAGCTTTGTGTCCTTGTGTCAAAAGTTTGCCTGTAAATGCAGATAATTCAAGAATACTGAGGGCACCTTTCATTAAGCCTTCATGTGTCTCAGGGAGAGTCACGTAGGCTTGGTGGGCAGTAGGACTTTTGCTGGGAGACAGAATGTGTTATGGAGATGGTTTGTCAGGAGGTTGGATGAGATGGTTTCCCAGAAATCTAGGGGCCTGCATCCTGCTCTTTCCTGCTTCTTTCCTTTGACCCATGTTCTTCCAGCTGTGTGTGCACACATGGGCACCCTCTGTCAGGGCCAGTTCAAGTTTCTCCGACTCCATGGAGCTTTATCTGACTGTGCCAGCCAAAATTCTCTCTCCTTCCTCTGCATGAGTTTACACGGCCTGTCAATGTGATCAAAATCCATGTGCATTTTATGGGGTCGTCAGTAAGAGATGCCAATTCTTCAAGGACAAGGAACATAGAATCCTTTTTATTCCCATTATAATTATATGCCTATTCCTCACCCTTCCCATAGACACACCTAATGCATAGTAGGTACAAAATAAATGCTGAAGTTCATTTAGTTAAAGGAGATATGCTTATTAGCTTTTAGAAGGTAAAATATGTTAATGAATTCAATGAATTTCCTGGGGGCAGAAGATGTGTGAGAGGGACAAGGGGAAAGCACATTTTTGCTTTTCTGACCTTATATCTGTTCAGCAGCAAATATCAAATGAAAGAAGTTGGTTTTTATATTTCCTGTGCCAAAATCCACACCATTTTATAACAGTACTGTTTGCAGTCTCAGTATGTGGGCCATGAGGTGCTAAAACTGTAAGCTTTTTAAAGAAAATTAGTCCTGATTTGAAGATTTTATTTTTTAAATCCTCCAGTCACAAAAATACGCAACATACCCTGTCTACTCTATAGTCCTCACCATTACCTACTGGATCAGAAAACAAAAATCTGTGGGAAATACTCTCAACTCTTTCCTGCCCCAGACACAAATTTGTAAGAAAGCAGTTACCATGAAGACTTGCTTGCTATGCAAATTCTTTAAAATTACCTTGGAAATTCTTTGGTCCCAGATTTAAGATTATTTATTTCAGACCTTCTCTAACAGCTTATCTAAGCCATGTCTAAGATTGCACAAGCAAAATTCTTCAAACACAAAGGAATAACCTTAAAGAAAAGAAAGGATAGCAGAAATTCCCCCTCGCTCTTAAAGGTGTTTGCTGTCTTCCACACATTTCCTACAACTCTTTGCCCAAACACAACAGATCAAAACTAGGCAGCTGCCATAAGAATGAAAACTAATGAACACATCTGGACTCGCTACAGGTCAACATGTTGGCCCCGGGGGGATAAAATCACCTGCTATTGTGGAGCCCCCAGAACGAGCCCCCGGGCCATGATTTGAAAGAGGGCAAGAGCAGGTAAAGGAGCACAGGAGGAAGTTCAGTCTGAGAATTAAACCAATGATGCATTTCATGAAAAGAAGGAAACTCTAGACAATATAGTGCTTGGGTCATATATTATCTTAGAGTAGGTCCACTGTGAAGGATCCCATCTGCTGTGGAATGAAGTCCATTCTGGTGCCAGTGAACATATGCACAACACATGATGTGGAATAGTCTCTGGAGCCAAGATTGGTTCTGTATCCACCCCAGGGCAGGTTGGTCAGTCTCCAGTGTAAACCTCCTTGGGATTAACCACTTATTCCAGTGTTGTGCACTGGCTAATTAATACCAGACCTGTTCCAGACAGCTTTGTACATCCTGCATATGGATGAAGATCCAAAAAGTTTTTTTTAGTGATCTGTTTGGATGGGACAGAGAAAGCCGAAGCAGAAGTCATCCCCATGTACAGGTGTGTTACCTTGCAGATGGGGGCTTGTTGGGGGGCAAATGACATTTACCAGGCAGAAAGTTTGCCTGGACACGTAAGGGGAGAAAAGGGTGCATGTGATGGATGCAGAAGTAACATCTGTGGCCTTAAGGCTTGAAGAGCAGGGCTATGCACCTTTTAGCATTCTGAAGAGGATTGAGGCAAGAGCTTGTGTTTCAGCGAGGTTTTGGATATGGAAGAATGCCCACTGTTGGGGTGGAATGACCCGAATTCTTTACCAGATTAGGGTTTCTGTGGATTTTTCCCAAGTGATAGAAATTTTCCTCTTCTAGTCTCGTTGATAGCAGGCAGTGTTGGACCAATAGTTTGCCTAAGCCAATTCTTTTTTTTTTCCAATTCCTCAATTCCTTCTCTATATTATTTCTGAAACCCCACCTTTTTAAAAAATTTATTTAAGAGAAAGCATGGGTGGAGGGAAGGGGCAGAGGGAGAGGGAGAAGCAGACTCCGCACTGAGCAGGGAGCCCGACACGGGGCTTGATCCCCGGGCCCCGGGATGATGACCTGAGCCGAAGGCAGACGCTTAACCAACTGAGCCACCCAGGCGCCCCTCTGAAACCCTTTCCTTAAACACTAAGTAAATAAAAAACAAAACAAAACAAAACAAAACCTTTTCAAAAAACTGCATATTTCTGGGTCTTTTCTCTTTTTTCTGTGTGCAGCACCAATACTGCTTTTCTTCATTCTTAAATTTTTCTCCTGTATCAGTTTACGAATCTTCATGGGTTGGCTTGGCTGCCCCACTAGTCTAATTGTCTTTTTGATAAATTAATATGGACAGTAACTTAAGGTTACATGTAAATCTTAAACATGATATTTCTTGTACTTGACTCACATTTGATGTTCTGTGAGGAAGACTGCCCTTATTGTCCCCTCCTGTGAAATCAGAATAACCACCAATCCTAAGATTAAACATTTTGATAAATTCCATGTCCCAAGCTATTCACACAATGTTATAGACTAAATGTTGTGTCTCTCCAAAATTCGTATGTTGAAGCCCTAGCCCCCAGTGTGATGGTATGTAGGAGGTGGGGCCTTTGGGAGCTACTGAGATTTAGGTGAGGTCAGGAGGGCAGTGCTCCCATGATGGGATTAGTGCCCTTAAATGAAGAAAAGACAACAGCGCTTCCTCTTTCCTCATGCATGTAAAGAACAGGTCACGTGAGCACATAGTGAGAAGATGACCACCTGCAAGCCAAGAGCAGAGGCTGTAGAAGGAAACCCACCTGCCAGCACCTTTATCTTAGACATCCAGCCTCCAGAACTGTGAGCAAGAGTTTTTGTTTAAACCACCAGTCTGTGGTATTTTGTTACAGCAGCCGGAACTAAGATACACAATTAGAAAGTTTAGCCACATAAATCTCTTGCCCTGATTTTAAGTCCAGATTCTGAGACTCAGAGAATTTAGTGACTTTCTGAGCCTTCCATGGCAAACCTGTTGTAAAAAACAGTTCAAGCACTAAAAAATATAAAACTGCCCCTAGAGATATTGCTAAAGCTTTCCTCTCCCTCAAATTACCTCTATGAGTTTACCCTCCTAGAGAAACTTTCTGAAAACTGGTGACAAAATACTGAATAATTAATGCTCAAATGGGAAGGATGATGGGTAAAAGCAAAAAATGGTTGCTAATTGCATGTTTGTAGTTCTATATGCCTTTTACCTACCCACACTGATAAACAATATATAATAAAGAAGTTCCTTTTTAAAAAATAAAATGTAATTAAAAGTTTATCTTAAATTGGCTGGACTTAACACAGCTTGCTTGAAACATACTGGCTGTATTCATTGAGAAGCACCTAGGGTAGTCCAAGTGTCCAGCCTAACCTGTGCCTTCCATGATGTCTGCCTGTCTTCCTCACTGGGCTGTAAATCCCTGGAAGCCACATTGTCTTGTTTACTGCAGTCTCTCCAGCATTAAGCATTACAACATGGCACCTCGCTATTTTCTCCTTATGCTGTCACCTCGCAAATTCTCAGAAAGCTTGTCTAGTCCCTCTCTCCTCTCCACATGGGCCTGTGACAGACTTTGCCTGGACACAGTTGTTTGATCCATAAATGAACTTGGCAGCCTTCTTGTGTCAATGAGTAACATTTTTCTTTCCTTCTGGTAGTCTTGGAATCCTCATCAACATCTGGCAATTTTCTTTCCATCTTCCTACACACACAATAGAGCCCACACCCCTCAAAACCCCCTTGACTAGCCAGATGACGAGAACACCAAGTTCCATGGAAGCAAAGGTGGAGCCCTGGCCTTGTGTCTGCCCCGCCCTCCCCTCTGCTGTGAGTATACTGACTCCTCAGTTTGATACCAGAGGAGGGTATCTGGCGTGAATTTCATAGCAGCAGCAGGCTTCATCTGAACCTTGGGCGCTCCTATGGTCCTGTTGCCATGGTAACCAGCCACCACTTGACTCTAATGCCCTTTAAGACTGTCTGGTCTGAGGTGGTAATGTCCCCAAAAGCAGACCCCGGACTGGCAGCTCTTCACTATGACCCCTCTCGTAAGCACATAGCCAACTGGAACTTCTCGGTTGCTGGGGTGAAGGGGCCGCTTTATTACCCCCGGAGGAATCAGATGAATTCTGGGCGCAAAAACTGGTGTTGCCTTTTTTTTTACCCTAAAAGACATATTCTCCAATTCCCAACCTAGCTTCTGTGACACGGTTTTCTCCCTTTCTTACTACCTCCTGTGTTCAAAATGCTGAGCTGAAGTGGGAGGGAGCAAGAGCACAAAAGAATTTGAGTTACCTTCCTGTCAGGAGGGGAAGTCTCCGCCCACAGTGTGGGAAACACGAAGACGGTGGTGGGGGGCAGAAAGTCAGTCTCCTGGGATGTGTTATTGTAATTGACTGTTTCCACTCACAGGAACACACAGCACCATAAATGGGAGCAGATTTCAGTCTTTAAAGGGAAGCATTCCTTCCCACAGCAACACAGGTGATTAATAGTATCCGTGAGACCCATATAGATGGTGCCTATTTAACGCTTTAGGTGTGTAAAGGCGGAGAAGGAAACATTTCAAATAGCTTGAAAAAATGACCACTTCATCCTTTGGAATTGTCACATGATACAGATTTTGAACAAATTCCCATTCACTCCAAACCCAGGCAGAAGGGAAGCAACAAGCGGGAGGAACATATTTGCCTGGGCATTGGAAGAACTGGCTTCTAGTCATAGGTCATAGTGATCCTGGGCAAATCTCTGCTTGCCTGGACTGAGGCTTCTTTCCGCCATACAGAGAGGCTGGCCTGAATAATAGGTAAGACCCTGTCCAGCTCTGCAACATCAGAGCTGCATCTTCCAGTTCTCCGCCAGTTTCTGGAACAGTGATAATGCTCTCTAAATGTGTGTCATGGAAATGGATGTATTATTATATTTCATCTTGACTTTTATCTCAATAGAGATTTTCTTCCACCTCATTTGGGTCTAGATTTCAGGAAGGAAAAGGGAAGCATAATGAAGGAAGGAAGGAAGGAAAGAAGCTTTGAGATATTCTTTCTGAGAGGAATGTCTTGTCTCTCTCTGGGATCCTAGTATATGAAGTTCCTAGCCTACATTTTCCCTCTTTAAGCCTGCCAAAGTCAAATGGGTTAAGTATACCATACAGGTTTAAGGAATAAACTACATCCCCAAATTTTCATGGAGTCCAAAGACCTATTCATCTCCAAACAGCCTTTCTTA